CAGAAGGGGAAACAAGACTGCCAGTGGCTGACTCAGCTTCCAGGCACGCTAATGAGGTGAGGCTGGGGAGGGCTGCAGGCAAGGCCAGCAGAGGAAAAGCTGACCCAAGTGGAGAAAATGCCGAGGGTGTGTTGGCGGCAAGGGCAGCGCAGGGGATTTAAGGATATAGACATCATTCAACCCAGGTGGGGGAATAGGCTGTCGATTCACCATGGCTCCCCAGAGCACTAAGGAAGACATGAGAAAATGCCCAGCTGCCAGGTGCAGGGGAATGAGGCTGCCACAACCTTTAATTTGAAACTCAGAGACGAGCTCCCCACACCAAGGCTGACTTCTGGGGCTTCTGCCTTTCCAATTTTTTTTTTCTTCTGATTTGCATCACAACCATCTATTTGCATCTCAACCGTCACAAGGTACAAATGGGTTGTCGTTGGTTTCGGCCCACCCTGTCCTTTTCTTCCCCGGCATCTGTGGGTTTTCTATAGCCAGGCAAAGGAGAAGAAATTACTCGGTGAGACTTGACAATGTGAATGGAGTCCTTGGGAGATAGAGGGGGCCGCTTTCAAGCACCTTTGTTGTTGTGAATGGTCTGGCAGAGCCTGAGATTCAGTGAGAGACTGAACAGCATCTTCAGTTTGGTGGGGACAGTGAATTCAATTAGCATCCTCATTAGGAACGACTGCCACAAAGTTCCCTTGGAGAGGTTACACTGCTTCCTCCTTCCCTTTCTGTTTAATCAGCTCCCTCGACTGCCCCACAGTGGATTTCTGAGGTCATCCTTGCTACACAAACTCAGCCAGATCGGTTTGGAAAAAGCCGTGGGCCACCTTCCCTAATACTTCCGCATTTAACCATGGCATTAACTCATCCAGTGTTCCTTTCTGGACTGTCTACTACGTTCCAGGCAGAGTATGAGGGCCTGGGTTACACTGGTGAGCCAAACCAGGCATGGCTGCCACCTGTGCACCATTCACTGCAATCCAGAGTTAGAGTTAACGGGACACTCACACTAATCATGGGCAGTGCCAAGAGTCACGTGGCTCCATGAAGCCTGGGACAGGGGGTTCTGACCGCTCTGCCAGTTCCCTTCCCTCCAGAGAATTTGCTCAATGAACACACCTTCCTGACACACCGAGCAAATCCAGAGTCACCTTCAACTCAGACACAAATCCCAACAGATCTATGTTTCCCTCAGAAATGGACCAGCAAGAAACAACACTTTCCTAAAACTCTCTTCTCTACCAGTTGCCTGATTTCTCTTTGTGGTTCCCTGATTTTTCCCATTCAGGACACTCAGGCAATGTTCAACTGCCAGTAACTTCTTTTGCTCCTGTTGGCAATGTGGCTAAATGCTTCATGGGGGTGCCGGGGTCTGATTCTCCATCATGGTGGGGCCTCCACTATACCCAAGACTGGCCCTCTGCAGCATTCGCCCGGCCAGCTCTGGATTTCTCCAGAGAAGAACATGAGATACACAAGAGCAGGGCTAGGGCTGAAAGCAACTCATCCCTCTCTCTTACGGAGGAATGAGCCTAGTGTCACATATGGGATGGTTTAGGGGCTGCCCCACTTGGAGGCTGGAAGATGGCCGAGGTTACCTCGGGCTTGGGTGGCCTGGGCTCCTGGACTGCCTCTCTTCGTTGGCTCTGTCTCTGCAAGTCACTGTGCCCTAGAGAAAGAGGAGGCCAGGCCTGCACTGTCAAAGACACTGACCAGCTCCCTTGGGAGAACAACAGCCATGGAGAGCAGGGAATGGTCCCTGGTGGTGCTGGGTGTCCTGACTGCAGCAGGTGTGCCAATGGCTGAGCCTGGGTGGGGGGTGGTCACTAGAGGCGAGTTGGACCCAGACACTCCTGAGCATTCCTCAGACATTTCAGAAAGGCTTCTAGCAAAGGGAGACTGAGATGAAACTGGAGGTGTCAGGGTTGCCCCCAGCCAGTCGTGGTGAGCAGGCCGGTGGGGGTAGGTTCTGGCCTTACAGTCGGTCGCGCTCATTGGACCCAGTCCTGTCAGGAGCTGCGGCTCCTCGATGATGACAATGGCTAACGTTTGTACAGCAGGCCCTGTGGCGCACCCTGTACATACCTCCTCTTGCCTCCTCCTCTGTGGCAGAGAAAATTACCTGGCACCTTCTCCATGCTTCCTGGCCTGCAGGTGGTGAGGTAGGGGCACATAACTAGTTCTGGCCAATAGTCATTGGGTAGAAGTTGCGGAGCCACTTCTGGGATGAAGCACAGAAGAGCTCGTGCTTAGCCTGCCATCTGCCTCTTCTCTGCTGCAGGGACTAACAGACCTGCAGATCGTGCCCCTGGGCGACTACACGGGGTGGGGTTTCCTGGTCCACCTGTGCTGGCCTAGTCGTCTTCATGAGAAATCAACTTGGTACTGCAATATAAGCTGATGGATACATTCTCTTTCTTTTCTATTTCTTTTTTTAAACATATGAACACAGCAAGGCTCATTATTTTACCTGAAGTCACAGAGCTAGTACATGGCATGGCTAGACTGAAGCACAGGCCCTGTCTGATTTCAGAGCTTGTGCTGCCCCCACACAAGCTGCCTTCCTTCTGGGTTGCCTCCAAGTTCAAGTCTCAATTCCTTGGCTTGGGATTCAAGGCCCTCTGAGGCCTGGGTCCCAGCCTACCTCCCCACTGCACACATTCTTGCTTGCCTGGATTACTGCCCGCTCTTACCAGCCAGCCTTCCTGTGCACCTCTGGGTGCAGCTTGAGGCCCCTCTCACCATAGAGCCTCTCCTGATCCTCCCAGCCCCTGTTGCTCCCTCTCCAGCTGACCCCTCACTGCCTGTGGTCACGGGACCTGGACCCCACGCTGGTATCCATGTTTCTCTTCTCTTGGGCATTACGGTTCTCCTGAAACCACAGATGGGACTTTCTTCCGAGCATCTCATTCATACAGCCATCTTCAAAAGGAGGTGCTGCCCTAAAGGGGGTGCCTGCCCTCCAGGGGGATACAAGGTGATCCAATAGGGTGTAAGAAAATGATGAAACTTGTTTTTATACCTGTTTTTCCCACCTTTTAAAATTACTACATTTAAAAGTATGTTTTTAAATTTTTTGTTTTGAGACAGGGTCACCTAGGCTGGAGTGCAGTGGCACGATCTCAGCTAACTGCAACCTCTGCCTCCTAGGATCAAGAAATTCTCATGCCTCAAGTTTCTGAGTAGCTGGGATTACAGGCACACACCACCACACCCTACTAATTGCTGTATTTTTTTTGTAGAGATGGGGTTTTGCCACATTTCCCAGGCTGGTCGCAAACTCCTGGCCTCAAGTGATCCACCCGCCTCAGCCTCCCAAAGTGCTGGGACTACAGGTGTGAGCCACTGCACCAGGCCTAAAAATATGTTTTAAAATGTACATACTGTATTTGTATCAACACACCGTGGACTCCTTGGGACAAGGACCATGGGCTACACTTGGCTCCTCCAAGGGGTTAACTGTAGCTCCTTGCAAACAGCAGGTGATCGATATATACTTTAGGTATCTCAGACAGTATGGAACGCCTCAGCAGGAGGTAGAGACACACATGTACATGTGCACACACACTTGAGCACATACACATCAGCATGGTGGGACCGACTTGCCCACGTGCCCTGAGTCCTTGGGGGGACCGTGTCCAGTTGAGAGAAGCTGATAGGAGGTAGGCAAAAGACATGGGCAGAGGGGCTCCTGGGTCAACGGGGCGGGCCGCTTGCTCAGCAGCCAGAGTAGAGAGGGCTCCTTGGAGGGTGGTGGAGGAAGCCCACCCTGGAGCGAGGCCACCTCGGCAGCCCCACATGAGGAGTAACTGAAGAGAAGCGCCTCAGGCTGAAAAACCTAATGGAATTCCTGAGCGGGGTGGGCCAGGAGGAGCAGCAGTAATAAACCAAAGTCCTATTAGCATGGCAGCTGCTGACGGGCAGGGAGATGGGGAGCAAGGAGGGGTGAGGACAGGGAAGGAGGCAGGCTGAGAGGGTCCTGAAGGGCTGGAGACCTGGCCCCACGCCATAGAGACCTGGTGCCCCCCCCTCGCACCCAAGTGATGCAGGGTGTGGCAGGGCCAGTGCAAGGGGCTGCCCCTACCCTGAGCCGCTTCCCTCCTCTCCAGCTCTCCCTTACTTCCTTTTAAGACTGGGCTCAGCCAGGCGGACCCCTTGGCGATGCAGGCATCATCTGATGGCCTGGGATCCCCTCCAAAGGACTTAGGTCCTTCTGCTCTTCATAAGGAAAAGATGCCGTCATCATTACACCAAAACCAGGAATTAGAGTTTCTGCTAAGGCCATCATTTAAACAGGAGCATAAATGGTACAAGCACCCCAGAGAGGGCACCAGATGATCCATCAGGGTGTGTGAAAATACACGTATGGTTTACTTCTACTTTTTTTTTTAATTTTGAGATGGAGTCTTGCTCTTGTCACCCAGGCTGGTGTGCAGTGGCAGGATCTCAACTCACTGCAACCTCCACCTCCCAGTTTCAAGTGATTCTCCTGCCTCAGCCTCCTGAGTACCTGAGATTACAGGCACCCACCACCATGCCCAGCTAATTTTTGTATTTTTAGTCTAGAGACGGGGTTTCACCATGTTGGCCAGGCTGGTCTTGAACTCCTGACCTTGTGATCCGCCCACCTCAGCTTCCCAAAGTGCTGGGAATATAGGCGTGAGCCACTGCGCCAGCCTTATTTCTACCTTTTAAAATTGCTATTTTTGTGCATGTTTTACAATATCCCTCGTAGATTAGTATGATGATCATGTATGTAACTTCTAATTAATAACCACACATATGGAAACACGTGCTCACAAGTTTTTTGCTGTTGTAGGGGGTAATCCAAACATAGAGACTAGTGATTTTTTTTCAGCCTTATTTATCCTCAGAAACTACCAGGAATGGGGTGCTACAATGTTTGTTTCTATTTTACAGCTGAGGACCTGGACAGCGCAGGCAGCATGGTGGGTCTGGATGGGTGGTGGGTCTGGTGGGCCACGTGTCCGGGTACTCACCTCATCCTTGTCCACCACCTGGATGAAGAGTGGAAGGGCAAAGCCGACCTGTGCCAGCTCAGTGATGGCCACGCTGTACTCTGAGCTGTTGAACTCCGGGGCGTTGTCATTGATGTCAATAACCAGGATATTGAAGGTTGTGGTGACTGTAGCGTCAGATGGGGTACGGTCATCATTCAGCTCCGTGCCCTGTGGACAGAGATCAGTCACCCCGGGATGAAGGCAGCTAATTACGGTAAGAGCTTTTACTTACTTTCTCAGCACCAGGCACTGTGCTTCGATGTGAATAATCCCATCCAATCCTCACCACAACTCCAGGAGGAAGATTTTATCATTAGTATTCCTATTTTAGTGATAAGGAAACTGAGTCTCAGAGAGATGAAGTAACTTGTACAAGGATTCACAGCCAGAGTAGACTTCAAGCTCAGGCAGTATGATCCTAGGATTGACAGCAGATGGATGAGACGGGGTGGGGAGGACAAGACCGATCTGGAGGTTCATCAAGGGACAAGGGGGAAGTCTCTATTCACTTTGGCAGATGATGAAGCTGAGGCCAAGACTGTTTCTGCTGATGGTTAATCAAGACCTAGCTAAGCATCTTCTGTGGCCTGAACCCTGTGCTCGGCACTGAGGGTCAGCATAGATGGACTGATTCGGATACCTGGGTGCCCAGTCTCTGGGCCACAGCCATAGGCCCAAAAGTGCCCATTCCCAGTTCTCACTCCAGCCTTCTGAATCTGAATCTCTCTGGGTGAGAGACACAAGAACAGATATCTTTCAATAGCTTCCCAGGGGATTTGAGTTCACAGCCAAGTGTGGGAACATACCCTCACATTTTATATAAAGACAGAAAAACTGAGTTCAAGTCCCACAGTGGGGTGCTGGGACCAGGGAGCAGCTCTCTCTGGTGGAGCTGACCACCTCACCTCCATGGGAGGAGAGCAGATGGGAAGGAAGGATGGTGGTGTGAGCATGCTCTCCCATGGCTAACCCACAGCTGAACAGCCAGGCCTCTTAAGGTCAAGGACAGCAATTAAGGGCCAGGCTGGGCTGCACCATCCTCCCCATGGTGATGGAAGGGCCTCCTTCCCAGAGCCCCTGGCCTCAGTCTTTGGGCCACCCCTTCCTCTCAATCGATGACTGATGGCCTGGGCTGGGAAGGCCCCCTGTGGCTCAGACAATATCCATACTCTAAATGGGATTCATAGGGAATGGCTCTGCAAGTCACTGATTTAAATTAAAACTGACCGTGAGTGGAAGGTGGCTGCTGGGGGTGTGGGACTGTAGCTCTGCCTCACCTTCTGGGGTGGGGACCCAGCACCTCCTTTCCTCCCTGCTGCATTGCTGTTTCTCAACCCAGGGAAGCCGTGGCACTTGGAAATGGGACAGAAACCCAGAAATGGGGCAAATTCTAGAATTCTAGGTGGCTGCAACAGAAAACTTGGAATCCTGGGACAGCAGGAAGGAAACACCACAGGATGAGCACCTGCTGTGTGCCTTCCCCTAAGAGGGGAATAAAAGTTCCATCCTGTGTGGTTGTCGATAATGGATGCGGCATGTCCAGCCACCTACAACTTCATAACTTGGGTGCCTTCCTGATGGGGCCCTGGGCACAAGCGCCGGGAGTCAGCACAGGGTGAGAGCCCGAAAGCGATGTGCTTCTGGAGCCACCCCCAGGGGTGGGAGCCCTTGGACACTACTGGAGGCTGGCATCCGAGTGGGGGCATCCCCTCTACCTGGGGTGAAGGTGCCTACCACCTGGCTCTCACCTTCACAGTCAGGATGAAGCCGTGGCTGTACAGGGGGTTCTCCCGATCCAGCAGGCCATTCAAGGTCAGCGCTCCGCTGATGTAGTCCAGGGCAAAGATGCTGTTGGTATTCCCTGCAAGAGAAAGAAGCATTCAGGTGTGACTGGGCACAGGGCAGGGGGGCATGGAGCTGGGGCCAGAGCTCCTCCCTGGACATAAAGACTCATCAGGAATGCTGGTTCAAGAGTAATGGAAAGAGCCCTGGAGTCTATGGTCCAAGCAGCTGGCAGACAGCACCGGGTTCCAGCAGAACAGCATGCCCCTTCCAACCTCCTTCTGGTCTCTCTAACCCAGCCAGGGAGAAAGTCTTGGTCTGGTGCTACTATGCTTTAACACTTCTCTAGACTCACTTGATTGCTTTTTTAGCAAAGAGAGAGCAGGCTTCAGGCTCAGTGCCTTCCAAAGGGAGTGGATGCCAGCCAGGATGCAGTAACCTGGTTTTGCTTTTCTTGTGCTTACTTTTATGGTCATATTCTGTTCTATTCTAGTCTAGTATATTCTATTCTAATTCTCTAGTTATGGCAGTGATGTAAAGTTTCCTCTTACAATAAATATAAGTTAAAGATATAATTTAAAAATAAATACTATGTTAAGGACTTATTGCAAAATTTAAGATATGTATTTAAAGTACTGGCAAAAATGATCTACAAGCAACACTTGCCCCAAACCAATGTCTCTGTAAACCCACCGCTCTTCCTCTGCCATCTTCAGTTTCTTCTTCCTCTCCACAGAAACTCACACTGACATCCTCAGGTTTCTCCAAATCACTGTGCTCTTTCCTGCCTCCTCATCTTTTAGTGTCTTTGTCTCTTGTCCTCACCCTCCGCCCAGCCCAGTGCCAGCCTCTTCTCCTCCTCCTCCTGGAAGTCAGTCTTGACTTCTCCAGTCGGCCCCTTCTGGTCCCCACAGGCATTAGCCACTGTTTTGTAACTAACTGTTCCCTACCTGATTCCTGGGTGTTTGGATCTCCTTCCCGACCCTCTGAAGATGGGGGCTTTCGTGACTATCCCTTAAGGTACCCAGCCAATGCTGGGCACACAGTGGCAGGCATGTTCCCCACCTGGTCCAGTCCTGCATGGGCCCCCATCCTTGCCCATATGCCCTTCCCACCAGGCTGTGAATTCATCTGGGAAAATCCTGATTCCACTCTGCTCTCTTCTTCATGGACCAGTTTGTTAGTTCATTCACATACTCACTCCCATTCATTCACCCACCCAGCAACCTTGGGGGTAGGCTTTCCTATAGCAGGCCCTGAGCTGGGCATTGTTGGGCATGCAGATGTCAGCGTGCCAGGAATTCTGATGCTAAAGCACTTGCAGCCTGGTAAGTGATCACTGGTACCCACCAGAATCAGCATCTCTGAGTTCATAGCAGGGAGAGGCTGTTTACAGGTGGGAAAGCTCAAAGAAGGAAAGTTCCATAGAGGATGTGTCATTGATATCCTGGACCACTGACTGGCTGTGTGACCTTGGGCAACTTACCTTTCCCCTCTGTGCCCTGGTTTCCTCTCTTGTAAAATACAGATAAAAATGGCATCTGCCTCATAGGGTTATGAGGAGTAAATGAGTGTGAAAGTATAGACACATTGCTTTGGGACCATTCCTGGCACAAAATAAGGACTCAGTGGTGTTGTTCCTGTTACTGTTTGAGGTGGTTCCTGGAAAACAGGCAGAACTAGGGAAGAGGATGGATGGACACCGATTCCATAGTACAAAATTAACACCCAAGCCTTCAACATGTGCAGGTGAGCATGGAAGCGGCTGTAGTTCCCTGGTCTTCCCTTTCCCCATCTCTCCCTCTTTTTTTTTTCTTTTTTCTTTTTTTTTTTTTTTGAGACAGAGTCTTACTCTGCCACCCAGCCTGGAGTGCAATGGCATGATCTTGGCCCACTGTAACCTCTGCCTCCTGAGCTCAAGTGACTCTCCCACCTCAGCCTCCTCAGTAGGCAGAATTACGGGCGCCTACCACCATGCCCAGCCAATTCTTTGTATTTTTAGTAGAGATAGGGTTTCACCATGTTGGCTAGGCTGGTCTTGAACTCCTGACCTCAGGTGATCCACCTGTCTTCGGCCTCCCACAGTGCTGGGGTTACAGGTGTGAGCCACCACGCATGGCCCTGCTTCCTCATCTCTAAAGGGATCTGCATGTAGCAGAGGCTCATAGCATCTCTTGGATTAACTAGGAAAAAAGTCAAGGGTAGGGCAAGTTTCCTCTGCTAACTTTAGACTTTGGGACAGAATCTATTCTCAACCAACCCATGCTGAGTCACCTGCCTGTGCTGCTCAGCAAGACAGCTTGCTTCTATCCAGGCTGGTGGCCAGTGGCCGCTCTCACCTGTCCTCCCAGTCCACTGCATGGGCTGGCCAAGATCAGGGAGAGGCTGGCGGTGGGACCTGTTTAGGACTCAGTCTGTCAGTCTATGGCTTTGGAACCTCTAACCTGGGGCCAGGCCTGGGAGCAGGTATGCTTGCAGCTGCCCCTTTGCCTAAAGCTGCCTTTCCCAGCCATAGAGAGACCTGGATCCCTTCCTGCTGGGTTGTGTATGGCTGTGTATTTGCATAGCGGGGAGCTGGAGGGACAGGATTGCAAGAAGGCATATCAATATATGATAGAAGGGAGTTTCTTAGCTGAGAATTTTGCTGCTAGAGAAACAGGATGTGTGCTTTCATCTGTTCATTCATTCTTTCATTCAATAAACGGTTATTGTGTGTCACTAATGAGCATACAGGTAGGGTGCTGTGGCTCACACCTGTAATCTCAGCACTTTGGGAGACCGAGGCAGTTGGATTACTTGAGGTCAGGAGTTCAAGACCAGCCTGGCCAACATGGGAAAACCCCATCTCTACTAAAAATACAAAAATTAGCTGAGTGTGGTGGTGTACGTTTGTAATTCCAGCTACTCCGGAGGCTGAGGCAGGAAAATTGCTTGAACCTGGGAGACAAAGAGATTGCAGTGAGCTAAGATCACACCACTGCACTCCAGCCTGGGTGACAGAGCAAGACTTTGTCTAAAAAAAATGCGGTTACATTTTAATGGAAGCCATAGCCCTCAACCAGGTATTCACAGTACAAGGTGATCAGTGCTGAGATTGGGTGAAGCAGAGGCAGTGCAGGGCCCTGCAGGGGCTGAAGTCCTCTGAGCCTCTAAGGCTGAGCTGAAGGGCTGCCCCGAGGCAAGACCTCAGACCTTCCTGCCTCCCACCCCTGCCCCAACACACTCACAGGTAGGGTCCCCCTCCCCAGCTGACAGACAAGCATCCCGGCATTCCAGATTTTCATATAAATTTACTCTTTCCAATAAAGGCACCTATCAAATGTTTAACTAAATGTGATTCCATTTTGATTGTTGTGAGATTTTTTCGTATAAATCATTCACAAACCTGAAGCCCCTTGTTGAGTGACATGTTCTCTTTTTTAGTTTGAAAAAAATAGGGCTTTCAGCCCTGGAACACTCACTTGTGTTTCTCCACTCAGCTCCTAGGCCCCATTCATGTCCACACTGCCCACCCCAAACCCAGCATCTATCCCCAGCACGTAAGACACCCCATGCCCTGACCTAAGCAAACTTCAACAAACCTGCAGGCAAGTACCCCCGACATGGTGAGGACTGACTCAGTGAGATGCTCAGTAAGATGCTCTTACTGTCACCATAGCAACGCCGGCACTTGCTGGGATGCTGCTAGGCTTGGGCAAGGGCAGGAGACAAGCCCTTTGCCCTAAGCTGGAAAGGCCAAGGGCACGTCTCATTCAAAGATTCACTGATGTTCTTATTCACTCATTCCTTTAAGTTCATACTGAGCACCTATTTTGTGCAAGGTGTCGGAGAATCAATAAAGAAAAGCAGGCAATGTTCACACCTTCAGGCTCATATGAATTGTCTGTGAAGATAGACATTGATGGTATAACCACACAATTGAAAGTTTAAGTACTTGCTGAGCTAAGGCCCCTGAAGAGAAGCAATTCGGAAAGAGAAATGCCTCTGGCGGCAGATTGCATGGGTTCAAATCATGGTTCTGCTACTTGCTGGCTCTGTGACCTTGATCAAGTGACTTATATGTGGGCCTCAGTTGCTTAGTCTGTGAAATGGGGATAATAATAGAACCCACTCCAGGCTGTCACTTTAAGGACTAAATAAGTTAATACAGTGCTGGGGACATAGGAAGCTCCCAACAAATGTTGGCTGCCTGCGCTTTACCAAGATGGTCCCACCATGGTCTCTCCCCACCACCCCAGCAGCCTGTGCCTACAGCTGTTTTCCCAGCATGTCACAGAGCCAACCCCACCTTTTGCCAGGAAAACCTCACCACAGAGGGCTAGTGTTTACAGGGTGCACTGAGGTGAGGCCAAGAACAAAGCCCTCAGATCCCTGGGCCCTGCATCCAGGGCTCTGACCTCTGCTCCCTCCTTCATTCGGGACGGTGGATGTGGGGTGGGGGCCTCCACTTCCCTGTCTTGTTCCCCTCCCTTCTGCCCCAACTCCAACGTCCTCCCCTCCACAGGGGCTGTGGGCTTGGCAGCCACACATGCAAGTTTCTCTGCTCTTCTGGAAACTGATACCTCCATGTCAGCCTTCTGGTCTCCCAGACAGTCAAGTCCCATGGGGGGCTGAGGGGCCCTCACCAGGGACGCCTTTCATCTGTTCAGCCCCACTTCTGAGCAGAAGGGCAGCTGCTTCCCCTGGGTGGACAGGTGCTGTCCTGAGTTCCGGGGGTGGGGGCATATCTGGTAGGGGAGGGGTTGTTGGGGTGGGATGGAGGCTACACTTTTACCCCTGTAAGGATTCTGGGAATTGGTGATTCAAAGTGATCACAAAAGAAAAAAGCAGGTAATTACTGGCCCTGCTGGTTTTCCTGGGGGCAGCCACCTCCTTTAGGAGCTCCAGGAATCAAGACCTTTCCACATTTTCAGGAGAGAGGTTGGGAGGCATGAATCATGTCTGCAAAAGCGTGAAAGGCTGGTGGGGGGCAGGGGTGGGTGTGTGGGGATTGCAGCCTTCATTCTCTAATTATTAAAACACCGTAGCCACTACTTATCAAACACTTACCATGTACCAGGCACTGAGCTAAGCTGTTTG